ATATATACATATATATATATATATACATATATATATATATACATGTATATATGATTATATATATATATATATATATACATATATATAGCGTGTTGTGAGACAGACGCGCTTAGATGCATTTCTTGCAGACGGAAAGAAACGTTGCGTCAACATTCTACAACAGCCGCTTCCGTGCGTGCGTGCGTGCGTGCGTGCGTGCGTGCGTGCGTGCGTGTGTGCGTGCGTGCTACCCTGGGATAGTTTTACACGCACGCACGGAGATCTAAATGTCTTACCATGCACACAGTCGCTGATGACTCAGCCACGCGTCCGAGTCGGTGTCTGTGTGTGCGCACGTGTGTGTGTGTGTGTGCACGTGTGCGTGCGTGCGTGCGTGTTTTCGTAAGGTCTGTTTTCTCAGATAATACTCGTGAAGTATAACAGCGTTGATCACGAATACCACGGCAGCTAATGCAAGGTTAATGTAATGTCACACAAACATCGATGAGTGTGGATGAGGAGGGGGAAGGGGGAATACGGGGTTGGGGTGGGGGTGATCTGTGGAGGATTATGAGGAGGGGGAGGGGCGGGATGTACGGGGTTGGGGTTGCGGTGATATGTGGGGGCTATGAGGAGGGGAGTACGGCTTGGGGTGGGGGTGATCGGTGGGGGGGGATGAGATGAGGAGGGGGGGTTGGGGTGGGTGGTTGATCCGTCGGAGGAGGATGAGCGAGCGGGGTTGGGGTGGGTGATCCGCTGGAGGATGAGGAGGGGGGAAGGGGCCGTTGGCGGTGGGGTGATCGTGGCGAGGATGAGGAGCGGGGAAGGGGGTTGGGGGGGGATGATCTGTGGAGGATTGATTGAGGAGCGGGGATTTGGGGGTTGGGGGGGGGGGGTGCATCGCTGGAGGGGAGTGAGGAGGAGGAAGGGGAATACGGAACCTGGTAATTGCCACGCGGCGAGCAGTGTAACCACTTCACACCTGACCTCGTTATGAAATACCGGACGGCTCATTAACTCTAGAGATTAGTATCTAACTAGTTGCCTGGTTCAAGATTTCGGAGATGTTGACGTGGGCGTGGTATTACATATATATTGTATATCATATATATATATATATATATATGATATATACATATAATTTGTGTATCGCTGCCGCATATATATGTCTGATATGAATTATGCAGAGTCCAGCGAAATGCCTTTCAGTTCTGAATGCGCGCCGTAGATTTCTCATTTCCTATAACGCTGCCCTCTCTCGTTTTTCGTCATTCATCTTTTAACGCAAAATGTTAAAAAGTTTTAGACAGGGTGGGAGACGAAGTTGATGATTCGTGACGTTACGTGACAGCTCTCCGGCGTGCGTGTGCGCGTGGGCGTGCGCGCGTGTGTAGTGCGCTGTCTGGCCCCCACCCGATACGGGTAGCCAGCAGCATTGTATGTTCGCCCATAGCTTATCTTGACTGCTGTTTGTGCCTCACCTCTCTTCTCTGCCCTATCCTCACAGCCCCGCCGCCAACGAGCGAGATGAAATACAGAAGAAGACCTTCACCACTGGGGTCAACATGCACCTCAAAAAGGTTCGTATATTACTTATTATATATATATTTAGAAGAGATGCTATATATATATAGTTATATATATATATATATATATATCATATTATATATTTATATATATATATATGTATTATACATATACTACGATTATAATGTACTACTGACTGTACCCTTTGCTGACAAACATATACACGGCAACAAACATGAAAACATCATGAATACCCATTATAGTACCCCGTAACAACCCCTACTATATATTAAGTAAACCGTAACACGCTCGCACGCACGTACGCACACACGCACGCGCACGCACGCACACGCACGCGCACACGCGCACGCACGCACGCACGCACGCACGCACGCACACGCACGCACACGCACGCACGCACACACGCACACACACGCACGCACGCACGCACGGACACACAGTATAGCCCATTATAATCGCAGGGGTCACTGCTTACGTGGTAGCTGATAGCACTTAATTATGCAACAGTAGCACCATCATCACCACCATCATCATCATAATCATCATCAGCATCAGCAGCAGCAGCGGCGGCCGGGGGGGGGCGCGCGGCACGATAGGTACAGGTACAGGTGTATGACGTCATTAATTACATGGGGGCTAGGTAACCGCTTAGGTTAAGCTCATTAAGGCCAGGTATACATAGATCAAAGCAAGCGGAGCTGGGTCAGCGCTGACCGCATGTGGCGGGTCGTGTAGTAGTGCAGTCACCCGTGCGCAGCCAGCGGCAATGCTGCACGTCAATGCTATATATATATATATACTGGTGTGTGTGTGTGTGTGTGTGTGTGTGTGCGTGCGTGCGTGCGTGCGTGCGTGCGTGCGTGCGTGCGTGCGTGCGTGTGCGTGTGTGTGCGTATACGTGTGCGTGCGTGCGTGCGCGTGTGTGCGTGCGTGTGCGTGTGTGTGCGTACGTGTGTGTGCGTGCGTACGTGTGTGTGCGTGCGTGCGTGCGTGCGTGCGCGTGTGCGCGTGCGTGTGTGTGTGTATGCGTACGTGTGTGTGTGTGTGTGTGTGTGCGTGCGTGCGTGCGTGCGTGCGTGCGTGCGTGCGTGCGTTCCCGCGCACGTGTGTGGAAGCAAAGCAGTACAGCGTAAGGGAAGCAGGGACAGCAGAAGAATCCAGTCTTCGACCGTACCATCGCGGTATCGACCTTCCCACCTGTACGGGCGTCAGGGAGACTACGGTGCGGCAGTCGACGGCAGAGGGCGCTGATCGTTGCGTATCATTGACGCTGTCTCCAGGGTTGCTGGGCTGGGCCACCAAGCTCGCACTGCGATATGTAGCATGCATTGATTCTCACCAAGCTTGCACTGCGATATATAGCATGCATTCTTATCCCGTCGCCCGGCTGGTCATCGGTAGATGAGTGATCACCAGCAGACAATGGAAGACCTTTGCGTGGAGCCTTTAGCTATGGGAGACCGCAGACACGCATTTACGCTTATGCTTGACTGCCATATTAATTATATATGTGCGGGGGCGTGTGGGCGTGCGTGTATGTGCGTGCGTACGTGTGTGGGTGCGTGAGTGCGTGCGTGTCCATGCATGTGTGTGTAAACACGCACACACACGCACGAACACACTTACACACACAATACGTACACACACACACTTAGACGTACTTCCGCAACAAACAATAATTGTTCCTGAACTCTCCCAGTTAATGAACATACTGGATGTTCATGAACTCTCACGATCATCCACACCCGTGCTCTGACAGCCTCTGGGAACATTCACCACACACCTGCAATAGAGCTAGCATAGTAAGCATACGATAGAGAAGGGAACATCATGTGTGTATAGAGGGAAGGGAACATCATGGGTGTATAGACGGAAGGGAACATCATAGGTGTATAGAGGGAAGGGAACATCATGGGTGTATAGAGGGAAGGGAACATCATGGGTGTATAGAGGGAAGGGAACATCATGTGTGTATAGAGGGAAGGGAACATCATGGGTGTATAGAGGGAAGGGAATCCATGGCGTGTATATGAAGGGAGGAACATCATGGCGTGTGATAGAGGGAACGCGGCAGACATCGTATGGGTGTATAGAGGGAAGCGGAACGATCATGGCGTGTATAGTGGGGATCGAGAACATCAATGGTGTATAGAGGCCGAAGGCGAACATCATGGGTGTAAGAGGAAGGGAACATCGATGGGTGTATTAGAGGGAAGGGAAGATCATGGGTGTATAGGAAGGAAGGGAACATCAATGGGTGTATAGCTGGGAGAGAACATCTGGTTTATAGAGGGAGGCGAACATCATGGGGTGTATAGAGGAATGGGAACATCATGGGTGTATAGCAGGGAAGGGAACATCATGGCGTGTATAGAGGCGAGGGAAACATCATGGGTGTATAGAGGGAAGGGAAACATCATGGGTGTATAGAGGGAAAAAAGCGAACATCATGGCGTGGCTATAGTGGGCGGCAGAGAACATCATGGGTGTATATAGGGGAAGCGCGAACATCCATGGGTGTATAGAGGGGAAGGGAACATACGATGGGTGTATAGAGGGAAAGGAACATCGATTGAGTGTTGTATAGAGGGAAAAGGGAAACTCGATGGGTTGCATTAGTGGGAAAGGGAACGATCATGTGTGTATTCAGAGGGAACGGGAACATTCATGGCGTGTATATAGAGGGAGGAACATCATGGTGTATAGAGGGAAGGCGAACATCTTATGGTGATATAGAGGCGAAGGGAAAACATCATGTGTGCCCATAGCAGGGAAGCGAACATCATGGCCGTCGGGTATAGAGGGAAAGGAACACAATGGCGTGTATAGAGGGGAAGGAACAATCATGGCGTGTATAGAGGCGAAGGGAACATCATGGGTGTATAGTGGGGATGGAGAACATCGATGGGTTGTATAGAGGAAGGCGAACATCATGGGTGTATAGAGGGAAGGCAACATCATGGGTGCAGTATAGAGGGTAAGGGGGAACATCATGGCAAGTGTACTAGAGGGAAGGGAACAATTATGGGTGTATAGAGGGAAGCGCGAACATCAGTGTGTGTATAGAGGGAGGGAAACATCAGTGTGTGATAGAGGAAGGGAGACATTCATGGTGGATAGAGCGAAGGGGAACATCTGGTGTGCTATAGAGGCGAAGGGAACATTACTATGGGTGTATTAGAGGGAAAGGGAATCATCATGGCTGTATAGAAGGAAGGGAACATCATGTGTGTATAGAGGGAAAGGCCGAACATCATGGGTGTATTAGAGGGAGCGGAACATATGCGGTGTATAGAGGCCGAAGGGAACATCAGGCGTGTATAGAGGGGAATGGGAACATCATTGAGGTGTATAGCAGGGAAGGAACATCATGCGGTGTATAGAGGGAAGAGCCGAACTCATGTGGTGGGTGATGACGGATAGGGAACATCAGTGAGGCTGTATAAGAGTGGGAAGGGGAAACATCATGGCGTGTATGGAGGGAATGGGAACATGCATGGTTTGTATAGAGGAAAGGATACATCTATGGGTGTATAGAGGGAAGGGCAAATCATGTGTTAATAGACGAAGCGGAACGATCTAGGTGTATAGAGGGAAGGAAACATCATGGGTGTATAGTAGGAAAGGGCAACATCTGAATGGGTGTATAGAGGGGAAGGCGCAACATCCTGTGTGTATTAGACGCGAATAGCGAACATCATAGCGTGTATAGAGGGAAGGGAAAAGAAAATCAAAACATATAACATCGTTTCTAATTTTGAATTCATATTATTATAATCAATTTTTCCATTAAAGACTGAGAATACACAATAAAAAATCATATTCTTATCAATGCACAGTAAATAAACATTATAAATATTCCAAAATAACCATCTAACATTATATATCACAATTTGTGCCACAACTTCATTCAAGCCCATAAATCTATATTTTATATATTATATCTAGGATCCCCCAAAGTTCTTAGAATATTCGTCATATATACATATCCCATTCGATAATTTTTTAATTCTATAAGTTCTAATGATAATTTCTTTCTTTTACATCCATTATTATTATAATCAAGCTGTATTTATACATCATTTTCAATATATCCATTAATTGTGAATTCATTAATTAGCAGTTGAATATAATTTTGCATAATTAATTTCATCATTGTTGTCTTCGATCATATCTTAAATAATATCTATCATGGGCGTATGGAGGGAAAGCGGAACTCATCGGTGTATGCGAGGGAAGGGCAACCAATAAAAATCATGTGTGTAGTAGCAGGCGAAGGGAAAGTCATGGGTGTATAGAGCGCGGAAGGGGAACATCATGGCGGGTATAGAGGGAAGCGGAACATCATGTGTGTATAGACGAAGGGAACATCAGATAGGTGTATAGAGGGCAAGGGAACAGTCGATGGGTGTATGGAGCGAAGGGGAACATGCATTGTGTGTATAGAGGGAAGGGAACCAATCATGGCTGTATAGGGGAAAGGGAACCATTCATGGGGTGTATAGAGGGAGGGAACATCATGTGTGTATAGAAGGAAGGGAACATCATGGGTGTTGTATAGAGGGACAGGCGAACATCATGGCGTGTATGAGAGGGGAAGGAACATCAGGGTGTATTAGAGGGAAGGCGAACATCATGTGTGTATAAGACGCCGGAACGAACATCAGTAGGTGTATAAGGGAGGGAAGCATCATGGGTGTTATGGAGCGAAGGGAACATCATTGTGTGTATAGAGGGAAGGAACATCATGCGGTGTATATTTTTTTGAGCGGAAAGGGAACATCGATGGGTGTATAGAGGGAAGCGGAACCATCATGGCCGTGTACTAGAGGAAGGGAAAAATCATGGGTGTATTAGACGGAGAGGCGCAACATCATAGGTTGGATAGACTGGGACAGCAACATCATGAGCGGTGTATGAGGGAAGGGAACATCATGTGTGCTATACGAGCGGAACGGACATCATGGGTGTAGGTAGCAGGGAAGGGACATCATGCGGTGTATAGAGGGAACGCAACATCAATGTGTGTATA